GTGGCAAACCCAAGTGTCCAGGGAGAGAGCTGTCGCGTGGACAAGCAGCTATCATTGCTCAGCCCACAGGACTGGTGTCCACCTGCTAGACTGGGTTGAATAGTATCCCTCCCAAACTCATGTCTCCCTGGAACCTCAGAATGTGACCTTACTTTGAATTGGGATCTTTGCAAAGGTAAATAGTTAAGGATCTTGAGATGGGCACGTGACCTGGGGCAGACATCAGAGTGACGTGGTGAGAAGCCGAGAGATGCCTGGGGCCCCCAGAAGCTGAAAGAGGCAGAATTCTAGATTCTAGAAGTTTCAGACTTCTGATCTCCAAAGCTGTGAGTAAGTGTCTGCTGTTTAAGCTACTGGATTTACGGTCATTTGTTACAGCGGTTCTAAGAAGTGACACCTGCAGTTCTCACCTGTTCACAGGTGAGCCGGACCTGACCTACCCAAGGTCCCTTCTCCCATTTGTCCTCACAGGACCCACTTGACAGCTGGATCTGCAACATGCTCAGGAAAAAAGACGCATCTCTCCAAACTTCCTTGCAGCAAGAAGTGGCCATGGGACCCAAGTCTGACCAAGAAGGTACTAGTGGAAATTCACAAGCTGAGACCTCTAGGAAAGCGATGCTTCCATTGTTTTTCTGGTTGAGACACAGACTCGGGTTCTCCCTTAGAATTCCAGAATTGAAAAATACACTACCTGGAATAAAAGAGGCAGAATTAAACCGCCATGTGGCTTCTGCCCTTCATGGTGTCTCTTCCTTCCTGGAAGATCTGCTATGGGCTAGAGGTGAAGAGTCATCTTTTAACCACAAGGATACACACCACTCTCTGAGGATGGCAGGGCAGGAAGTGGGAAGGAACCTGGAGGACTTCCCAAGCATGCATCCCCGGGACCTCCCTGCCACTGTGGTTGGGTCTCCGTTACATGCAGCTCAACGCATTCCCAGCTGACATTGTGACAAAGAAAATCTAATGAGGATTTGAATTATATTTGACACATACACTGAATTAGCAAACTGTTGATGGAGACGTGTGCTAATTATTAGACGAGACAGCACAAACTTGGTGCCCAGTTAATCCTGGCATGTAGTGGCACTTGGCACAGGTGGGTTCCTTTGCTGCCTTCCTGGGTCAGACAGGGGTGGGGGGACAGTGGGTCTGGACTGGTGACAGTGGGATGGAATGGAAGTATCCTTGGACCGCAGCCATGCCTGGTGTAAGAAGGTGAGAGCCCATGAGCTGGGAGCCCGCTGGCTGACAGGCCAGCCCATCCCCATTCAGGAGGCAGCAGGGCCCAGAGGGCGGCCTTCTGCCCACGTGGGATCCAGGCCAGGCACTGACAGAAGAATTGGTTTAATGGTCTGTCTCCTGGTCCTTGGATGAAGGCCGCTACTGGTTTAGTTGGCCAGGATGAGTCAAAGGAACACCATGAGGGTTTCGAAACCTGGACCTTCAGCACCAAATTTGTTTTTTTAAGGGGCTAAAAGATTTTTAAAGTCCCAGTGGTAGTCTAGGACAGGTCTTGGTGTGAAAAATTGGAAGGAAAATGGGTAAGACAAACAAACAAATCAACCCCATAAAACATGTAACGGTTTCAGGACCACCCACCAAGCTGCAGGGTTTTTACTTTTCCGTTTTAGAATGAAGTGGCCATGGTTTGAGGAGCCAGGATTTCACAGTTCCTGTCACCCGTTCCGTGGGTCCCCTGGGCCCTTGGGGCAGGGCAGGAGAAAGAGGGAAGGCAGGTCTCTGCTGGGAGCCAGAATCAGGGAAGAGGCTCTGAAGTCGATCTAATCCAAGGATCTTCCAGCTTCCATTCATATTCTTCCAGGGAAGAGGCGTCACTCCTTCTTCATAAGGCACATTTCACTTTTGGAAGTCCTGCCAGTCTGAATCTTCCTCATTGTACTTGGTAGAAATCTGTCTCCCTGTGGCATGTACCCACTGGTATTAGTTTCATGCTGCAAAGCAATGTAGTGAAGATACATGTGGCACCGTGGGCATCCACCAAGGGCTGAGCACGTCCCAAGTACGACCTCATTTAATCCACATAAGCACCCCGTGAGCACTGTCATTATTGCCTCTTTACAGAGGAGGCCACTGATGCTCAGAGAGGTTCAGCAACTCACCCAGCGTCACACAGCTGGTGAAGAGCTGATGTGGGATTCAAACTCCAGCATGTCTGTGTCCTGGCTCGTAACTCTTAGACCATGTGACCCCTTAGTGCCCCCGGCCTGCCCCTCTTCACTCTAAACCCTCCTGTTCTGTCACAGTTGCTCACGATAAACCTCGGACTGGGCATGTGACCCGCTGGTGATGAAAGGAAGGCAAAAGCAGGCCCGCTGGGGAATCCCAGGAATGATTTTCTTCCCCAATAAAAGAATACTGTGAGTATGGAGATTTCTTAAAAAACTGGAAATAGAACTGCCATATGACCCAGCAATCCCACTCCTGGGCATACACACCGAGGAAACCAGATCTGAAAGAGACACGTGCACCCCAATGTTCATNATAAATAAAAAAAAAAAAGAATACTGTGAGAAAGTGGACCCACCCCCTCGTCCCTTCTTCCCATCTCAGACTCAGCGTGGGGACAGTCTGTGACCGACGGCCGCCCTGCCCACAGAGGAGGGGGGGAGGTCTGCATGGATGCTGACCAGCTGTCCTGACAGCCCTGAGCCTCTGCCCCCAGATCATCTCCCTTCTGACTTCTCACGTGAGATGTCTGGATGTTTTCAGAGTGATGATTCTCCAACGGACCCAGCACCAGAATCATCCTGAGGGCTTGTGAACTCGGCCAGGTTTAACTCACAGGATCTGGGTTGGGACCCAAGAATCTGCCTTTCTGACAAGTCCTGGGGTTACCGTATGGGTTCGTGTTAGCTGCCGCCCCAAAGCATGTCACCCAGCACAGTGGCCACGATTACTAGAGCACCTTTCAGCCCACAGCTCCCCTGTAATCACTGCTCTGCGGTGAGGCCACTGTGAGAAATTCTGTTTCCTAAATGAGCAGCCAGAGGCCCAAACAGGCAGAAGTGGCTTCTCTGGCAGGCCAATGGTTAAACCTCCCCCCTTTCAACGCAAAAGGCATGGGTGTGATTCCTGGCTGGGGAACTAAGATCCTACATGCCGCACTATGCAGCTGGAAAAAAAAAAAAACTTGTCCAAGCTTCCTCAGTTGGTAAGGGGGTGGGAGGCAGGCCAGGGACCCTCAGGCCAGTGCTCTGACCCTGGGTCACCTTGCTCTGACCCTGGGTCACCTTGCGCGGAGCCCCCTCTGTTGGGGTCCCCAAGCAGCGTGCTGGCATTCAGCCTGCTCATACCACTCCTGCCCACCTTTGCTGTGTCTCAGACAGACTCTGCAAGAGGGGAGCGCTAGCTCCCTCCCAGCTGCCACTGTCTCCCCAGCTGCCAGTGCATCTTTTGTGTGTTGGACATCTGGGGGCAAAAACTTCGGGACCCAGGGTTGCAGCATTCTGGGAGTTCAGAAGAACTTCCTGAAGCAGGAGAAAGAGGTGTGGGCACCAAGGANAAGTATATTTATTAAAAAGGAAAGCTGAGAATTCCTGGGTGGTCCAGTGGTTAGTACTCTTGAGCGTCCCCTTAGGAGGCACAGGTTTAAGTAAGATTTCGCATACCACTGCTAAAAAAAGAAAAAAGGACCACTAATCCCACCATCGATGGGAATGAGAAGTACTTCTTACAAATAGATGGCCGGTGAAAGCAAATGCAGAACGTGGATGGGGAGATGAAAAAGGTCGGCCAGGAACCTCCAAAACGGTTTGTGGATGCTGGCGCTCGAAATACATAGAGACACACGACTCAACTGGACAAAAACGGGCTGACGCCCAGAGAAGAGGACGTCTGTTCAGGGCTGAGCTGGGTTTCCCCCTCCCCAAATTCACGTGTTGAAGCCGCAACGCCTGTCCGTTTGTGGAGATGGGGCCTCTTAAGATGCGCGTGCTCAGTCGTTTCCGACTCTCTGGGACCCACTGGACTACAGCTCTCCAGGCAAGAATGCTGGAGTGGGCTGCCATCTTCTCCTCCAGGGGATCTTCCCAACCCAGGGACTGAACCCGCATCTGCCCGCATTGCAGGCGGATTCTTTACCACAGAGCCACCAAGGAAGTCCTTCTGAAGGAGATAACTAAGGTTAAACGGAGTCTACGCGGCAGGAATTGATCCTACAGAACCCGTCCTCTTAAGACAAAAAAGAAACACTAGGGATGCTCCAACAGAGAAGACTCAGTGAGAAGGGGGCGCCTGCAGGCCCAGGAGAGAGGCCTGTGGAGAGCTGCCCTCTGAGCCTTCATCTTGGACTTCCAGCCTCCAGAGCTGTGGGGACGGCAGGCTCTGCGGTGGGAGCCCCGGGGGCAGCCGAGCGGACTAGGACGCTGATGGAGTGAGGGTAAGACTGTCGTACTCACCACGCCGTGCGACTAGATGGTCAGAGGCAGCCCCTCAGGCCGCAGCCCAGCCCGGCCGACCGGAACCCACAAGCCCGGCCCCACAAGCACACACACACCCACGTCCGCACGCACACAGGCCTTCACGCCCCCACGTCCGCACGCACACAGGCCTTCACTCCCCCACGTCCGCACGCACACACGTCCTCGCACCCACGTCCTCACGCTCCCACGTCTGCAGGCCCCAAGGGCCTCACGCCTCCATGTGCGCACGCCCCCACGTGACTTAAGCTTCACTCACATCCGAGATGGAAATCCTTCCGTCATTAGCATCTCCACGCCCGTGTGCCGCGTTCTGGGGAGGATGGCGTGGAAAAAAACAACCAGCCTGCTGCTGCTTCTAAGGCGCTTCACTCGGGTCCGACTCTGTGGACCCCATAGACGGCAGCCCACCAGGCTCCCATGTCCCTGGGATTCTCCAGGCAAGAACACCGGAGTGGGTTGCCATTTCCTTCTCCAAGCAGCCTGGAAGGAACTTTTAAATGTTTTATTACACAAACGGTTGAGGTGTGTCATAAAAGATAAGTCCCAGAAACGTTTTAGAAATCAAATCAGTTTTATTGAAACGATAGCAACGTGGTCCCTGTTCAAGCGAAGCACACATAAATTTACAATAAATTTTTGTACATAGGAAGTAGTAAAATACATCATTTTTCATAGAAAAAAGCACACGTGTAAGCTGCGGGCTGAGTGAGCCTACAGACAGTATGAAAAATCAGAACATGATGGGGAAAACCGGAAGGAAACCAAAACTTCGTATTTGGGGGGTCCTGGTAACGCTGTCGGCCAGATTTATCATCTTTTCATGGGTGAGGTGCTGAAGGCACCGCAGGCACTGTTAAACACACTAAATGAGAAGGGGGTCCCTGATTAGGAGAGCTACTTTGAAGCCCTGTGTTCATTTCTGGAAGATAAATGGTTACAGTTTCAAAATGTTTGAGAGAGTGAAAAAGATAGCAAGACCTGGTCCTGGGCAAAGAGTTTCTAGTCCATTATACCGGGCAGTTAATGAAGCATTCAAGAACAGGGGAATTTTACTTTTAAATGATAGAGTTCACTGGGATGTTTCAGATTCTCCCTCCAGCAGAATGCTTCAAAAGCAAACCTACTGAAATTTCCCTGGACTGCCACTAATTCTAAAAACCCAAACTCAGAGTCTGGATGTGGTCACAGCCACCAAAGCCTGGTGACAAGCAGAAGTCCAACAGTGTAATACCTAACTAACATCCAGAAGTTTCCACGGACTCAGATCTTTGGCAGGGACAAGATGAGTATCTGACAGCCTGACCAAATTCTTCCACTCTGACATTTGGAGTCCGACAGTCGGTACTTATGAATTATAACAAGCCCACAGTGTGCAAAGCAAAAACAGTCCTGCTCATTTCAGCTCTGTCAAGGTTAACAGTTTCATTCCTTCTACAAACTCCCTCTAGCTGGGGAATAGTATTTACCTTCTGTTTCTGCTCTAATTAGGGATACGCTAAAAGGAAGCCCCAGCTTGGTTCCCCAGGTAGAGCTCCTCATCCAGACTATCTTAGTTTTTTCTTTTAACTTTTTGCTAGGTCTTTTGCCTTCAAAATATGGTGATTGAGGGTGGAATCAACTTTGAAACTGGCATTCACGAAAGTGATCTATTGGTCAGTCTGGTGATGGAAGGTGGAATTTTACCTTCTGCAAAGAAACTCTATTTACAAAAGGGTATTTTATTTCACTGTGGGTTCGGGTCGAGGCTTATGAAGTTTTATATGGCGATGGGAGCCAGAGAGCACCATGCTCCTTGGAGCCTCAGCAACATTTGGCAAGAACCGTTCCACAAAAACAGGAAGAGAAATCCCCCGCGTGTGTTACCATCTCTTGTTATTATGCCACAAGATGGTTTCATAACCACTGGCTGTGTCTCCTTCCAGAGCTGCTAACCTCGGCGAGGAATGTACTAAAGAATGAAGCCATTCCTCCCAGTGCAGAAAAATAGGTCATCTGACGGATAGGGAATCTGCACACTTCAGTGCCATTTTTAAAGGCAGCAACTAAACAGCCCTTCTTTGGCTGTTTTTGGACACCTTGGTGGAACCCACAGAGAACAAGGGGTTGAAATTAAAAGTTGGGCTTCATACAGAATCACTTGCTAAGCAAAGACCCTGGTGGGAGACACAAAAACTAGTTTGGGAGGGGTGTGAGCCGCAGCGAGGCGAGGATCAAGGAAGGGTCCTGGTTCGTTAGTCCTCAATGAGACCAAAGGTCGAGGCAGCAGACAGACAGGCCACATGGACGTAGGGAAGGACCAAGACAAGACACATCTCTGGAGTTAGGGCTGAACTCGAAGTCAGCCAGCACTGCTGTGTATAGAACCAGCCTGCACGCAGCAGGACGGGAGCAGGACCAGCACCAGGGCAGGGTCCCACGGCCCAGCCCGTTTGACCAGCAAACATTAATCCCATTTTTCACCACTGGTAGGGACAGACTGTGTTTCTGAATGTTTTAAATAGCTACCTCTACTCCATCCCTGAAACTCCCCCGCCTCCCGAGCGTTCTCCATGCGCCTCTTCCCATGGCCCCAACGCCTCACAGTGTCAGCTCCGAGTCCTTCATTCTCTCCTCCAGTTGGAATCCTCTCTCCATCCATAGAAGGACACCTCCGCGGGGAGACCCCCGGGCCTCGGCAGGATGATCACCGGCTCTCTGCTCAGGACCCCAGGGATGCTCTCTCTTCCCAGCGTGAGGAGCTGAGACCAAGGCACGGCAGACGGGACGCTGGACGCCAATCAAAGGAAGCTTCCTGACTCCCCACATCCCCGGCCCACCCCACCCCACCCCCCATGACAAAATAAAAAGCGAACCCCTGAAGCCGTCTTGAGGACGTGCCCTTCTCCCCAGCCCTGCAAGTTCACTGCCTGACAGCAAAGATGCGGAAGGCCTTTCCGTCTCTAGGGGTCCTCAAGCTGAAAAAGAAGGAAGAGTGCATGTTACCAGAAGTTCTGCAGGGATCGAGCTGGGGGTGGGGGAGCTGGGTGTCCCCAGGTCCCCTCAGTGGAAGCAGTGTGGCCAAGAGATGCTTCCTAAAGCTTCAGGAACAGGGCCTGCCCTGGCCAGGAGCAGCTGGCAAAGCCCCCTGCCTCTGCAGACATGCCTGGGTCTGAATCGAGTTCTGGGTTGTTAAGGTATTTCTGTTAACTTGGAATTTGCTGGCCCCTGTCTCTCTGAATGCAACTCAGCCTCCAGGACTTCTGCCTGGTTTTTGCTACCACCTGTCAACCCAAAGAGAAACCGCCTGCTTGACTGATTAATAGGGTGGTGTTAAAACAGTAGTACATGTGTTCCAGTTACTAAAGAGGCAGCACAATTGGGCTCGGCTATTGTATAGGAGTGTAGAGAAAGTTGCTCAGTCATGTCCAACTCTTTGTGACCTCATGGACTATACAGTCCCTGAAATTCTCCAGGCCAGAATACTGGAGTGGGTAGCCTTTCCCTTCTCCAGGGGATCTTCCCAACCCAGGGATCAAAACCAGGTCTCCCTCATTGCAGGGGGATTCTTTACCAGCTGAGCCACAAGGGAAGTCCTGATGTGAAGAACTGACTCACTGGAAAAGACCCTGATGCTGGGAAAGATTGAAGGCAGGAGGAGAAGGGGATGACAGAGGATGAGATGGATGGCATCACCGACTCGATGGACATGAGTTTGAGCAAGCTCTGGGAGTTGGTAATGGACAGGGAAGCCTGGCATGCTGCAGTCCATGGGGTCACAAAGAGTCAGACACGACTGAGCAACTGAACTGAAATGAACTGAATTGTAAAGGAAGCATTTTCTATCTGCCTTTACCTCCTCCCACAGTGGAGCCATTCGTATCCCTATTTTTCAGGCAAGAGTATGAGAGCAAGGAGAAAGTCAGTTTCTACAAGTCACACAGCCAGAAAAAAACCACCCTCTCAAGATGGGAGCTAAATCCTTTTTAAAAAACAAACAAACAAACAAACCCAGCTTCGTTGAGATACAACATGCCATGAAATTCACACTTTTGAAGTGGACAATTCAGTGACTTTCAGTGATTTTGGGGGGCTATGCAATCGTATCCACAGTCCAGGTCATTACAGTCATCCCTAGAAGGTCTCTGGTGCCCATTTACAGTCAGTTCCCAGGGCCGGTTCTGTTCCTAAGGGCCTGCCTCTTCTGGACCTCTCATGTCAATGGAATCACACAGTGTGTGACATTCTATGATCGGCTTCTGTTCTGGGCATGGTGTTTTGAGGTTCACCCATGTTGTGGCCTCAAAACATCACGCTCAGAACAGAAGCCAATCACAGAAAGCCAATCATCCCTAAAGGAGAACCAGTCGATCCTGAAATAAATCAACCCTGAATATTCATAAGAAGGACTGTTGCTGAAGCTGAAGCTCCAGTAACTTTGGCCACCTGATGTGAAGAGCTGACTTACTGGAAAAGACTCTGACCCTGGGAAAAATTGGCATGAGGAGAAGGGGACGACAGAGGATGAGGTGTTGGATGGCAACACTGACTCAATGGACATGAGTTTGAGCAAACTCCGGGATACAGCGAAGGACAGGGAAGCTGCAGTCCGTGGGGTGGAAAAGTCAGACACGACTTAGTGACTAAACAACAAAACAGCAACGTGTTGTAGCGTGTTCAGCACTTCATTACTTTTCTTACCAGGTGATATTCCATCACATGGGTAGATCACACACCATTAATCCCTTCCTCAGTTGATGGACTTGAGATTTCTTCCATTTTTAGCCAATATAAATGATGCTGCGATGAACATTTGCATACAGGTTTTTGTGTGAATGTATGCTTTCAACCAGAGAAGGCAATGGCACCCCACTCCAGTGTTCTCGCCTGGAGAATCCCAGGGATGGGGGAGCCTGGTGGGCTGCCGTCTATGGGGTCGCACAGAGTCGGACACGACTGAAGTGACTTATATCTATAGGAGGGCACCCAGGGATAAGCTCCTAGGAGTGGAGTTACTATATCAGAGGATGTGCCCACTGGTGATGTGGGCAACCTGCTGCATTGTGTTTCAGGAAGGTTACCATGATTCACAAGCCCCTCAGCTGTGTGCGAAGTGGCCTGTTAACCCACGCGTCTCCAGCATAGCTCCTCGGATGGCTTTTTTTTTTAAGGTAATTACCATTCTTTTTTTTTTTTTTTGGTTGAGCTGGGTCTTCTGGAAATGTGTATCAGATGGGAGCCCTTGGCAAGAGGGGGCGGTGGGGAAAGTCCAGAGCCCAGAAACAGCAGAATATTGGTGCCAGAAGCCCCCATGGACCGCGGAGGCAGAGGGTGGACACTGTGGTGTGGGCTGCGGTGACTCTGGCTGCCTCGCAATTTTTCTCAGAAGCTCAGATTTCAGGGCCCTCCTCAGGCCTCTGGGCAAGACTTTCCTGGATTCTCTGCCCAAGTGAATCGTCTGGGAGAATCACTCAGAGCCACATGCCTTCGGCTATTACACGTGCTGGGGACAATTACCAGAGTTTGTGATTCTGAAACTCTACGGATGGGACAGGGGGTGCCCCCATCAAGCCAGGGACAGGGGCCACTCAGGCTGTCATCCAGACAGGAACCCTGAGGTTCCTACCAGACATCCCCACTCAACAGCCACCCCACCTGGAAGGCACAAGCAAGCTCTGCTGCACGGGCGGTTTATTTCTCAACACATCGGACAGTGGGCCAACTGGGTATCACGCGACACCAGGTAGGGCCCTCCCGCTGCCTCAGGCAAGGTCCATGCTTCAGATATTTACCGAGCTCCAGTTCTGCTAGGAAAGTTGACAATTGTGTGCGACTGATGAAAACCAAGCATGACCTGATAAATTACAAGACAACCTCCTTTTCTAAATCTTGCCTTCTGACTCTTTCTAGGTTAGTTTGTAGCTCCCACAAGGGAATGTAAACCAGCACAACATTTCTGAACAATTTTCACCAAAGGTATTGGACGATGTTCCCAAAATATATTGAACAATTTTCATAAAGGATATTAAAAATCCTACAACTGGTTCTGAACAAATAGCTGAACTCATCATTCTGTCAGTCGTTCAACCATTGTTTACTGAATCACCTACTATGTACGGGCATTGGGGTGGGTGTTGGGGACACAGGGGTTCTTACCTTCACGGAGCTTACAGTCTGGGGGTGAGAGAGCAACTGCTAAGTAGGTGTAAGGAGTAGTTGCAGACAGTGGTGGGTCCTGAGGATCAGATTAGATCGGGGGTGTGGGGGGGGTGACTGGAGACCCCACAGCAGGAGGGCGCCCCTTGGGGAGCTGGCATTTTTGTGTAGATGTTACCAACATGAAGGTCCAGCCATGGAGGTGCAGGAGCTGGGAGGGCCCAGGGTTGGGCACCAGCAGGTGCAAAGGCCCTGAGGCATCCAGGAGAGAGAGCAGGCCAATGAGGGGCACTGCCGTGACGGGGCAGATGCTATACCAGGAGGGTGGGGAAGTGGGTGGGGTGACCTGCCTGGTAAGAGTCGGAGATTTTTTTCTCAGCAGGGCTTGAACAGGAGAGACATGCCATGCATCACAGAAAGAGGTCAGTTTGGTGGCTGTGGTTATGCTGCTAACAGGAAGTTACCTAAGCAAAGTGTGGGGAAAGCACATAGGTTGTGCAAAGATGTTCTTTGCTGTGTTGTTTACAACAAAAAAAAAGGAACCAACCCAGATGTCAGTCAACTTGGTAAAGAGACGACGGTCTCTCCATGCGACAGAATAGCATGGAGCCATGGAAATGATGGTGTGGCTATGTCGGGCATGGGAAATGTTGGGAAGACACTCACAACTGTTGTTGACTGAAAAAAATTAACAGAATGATGCAGGCAGTCTGATCCCTTTTTCTGTAGAAACAAAAGCAAAATCACAAGGGAGTTCCCTGATGGCATAGTGGATAAGAATCTGCCTGCCAATGCAGGGGACACTGGTTTGACCCCTGGTCTGGGAGGATTCCATGTTACATGGAGCAACTAAGCCCGTGCACCACTATGGGGCCTGAGCTCTAGAGCCCGTGAGCTGCAGCTACTGAAGCCCATGCACTCTAGAGTCTGTGCTCTGCAACAAGAGAAGACACTGCAAGGAGAAGCCCGTGCACCACGACCAGAGAGCAGCCAAGGCTCTCCAAAACTAGAGTGAGCCCTCGGAGACCCAGCGCAGCCAACAGGAAAATTAATTAAGAAAACTAAGAAATAAACTGCTACTGTGTAAATAGGAAAAATCTGGAAGGAAACCACCAGAGTGTTTACAGTGGGATTTTCTGTGATAGTAGTTTCTTAAAACTATTTGCACTATTTCTTGAAATTTCTCTAATCTTACTATGAAAAGTTGGGGGGTGGGGAGGAAGGGAGAAAGAGAGAGAAAGGGAGGGGGAAGGGAGGGAAAACCAGTATAAAAACCCCCTCTGAGAACTGGGGAAGAACTGGAGCTGGTCTGGGAAGCCCCTGGGGTGTCCCCAGGGTCACTGATCTACTGGAATGGGAGCTCTGGGAAAGGTTGAGGCACTGTAGCCTCGGATGGTGTCACAGCCCAGCCCTGGGGAGTGAGTCCAGGCTTCCGACAGCCCCTCGCCTGCCCTGGATACCAGTGCTCAGCTCTCCGAGCCAGTGGTGTGTCTGGCACACACACCACTGCACCCCAATGCTGCCTCCATTCGTTATGTAATCTTATCCTGTCCAGTCCCCGCAGCCCCCCCCCCCCCCCCCCCCCCCCCCCCCCCCCCCCCCCCCCCCCCCNTGATTTGCCCCAAACAGAACACCTGTTCCAGGTGCAGCTGGGACATGTATGCAGCTCTGTGGATGCTCTGGGACCCTTTCCTGACCCTCATCCTAAATGGATGGACTGTGGCCACACCACTGCCCAGCACCACACTGGGCAACCCCACATGGCAGTCCGGGCTCAGACGCCGGGAGCCCCTTGGGAGGTGGGAGGCTGCAGGTCTGCCAG